ATGCAGTGTGACTGGTGCGAGGTGGGGTATGGTCCAGTACCAACAGAACCAACTTATTCTTCAGGCTGCCCACTGATTTCCCCTCCAAGCCTGCCGCATCTCGCCTAGGTCCACCCCCGTTCCACCATCTGTGTAGGCATCTGTTCTTGGTATCACACCTGGACAGCAAGATGCCTCCTCCGAGCACTCCGTTCCCATCACTCTTTACTAGGAGTATCAGAGCCTTCTTTTCCTCTCCCTGTGTTACGACAAAAGTGGTACCAATGCACATAATTCCCCTTACACCGTTCTCTGTCTCCTGGTTGCATTTCTTGCTCTATCTCAGTGTCCCCAGCTGACACCACAAGGCATATTCCAACCCTTGGAATCCAGGCAATCCACACTCAGCCCCTTCCAGTCTTTCCCAGAAGTAAGTTCCTTATGCCTAGCTTACACACACCTGCCTGCCCACCCCCCAAGCCCGCTACGTGTTCTCTATGGTTGTCCATTTCTTAGTGAACCGCACTCACTTCTGAGTTGGGAGAATTCAGGTCCTGGTCAGGCTTTGCAGCAGACACCTCACTGCGCCGAACTTCAATCACTTTCTTCATAACCTTCAGCTCACTGGGATGAGGGGTTGCTCTGCGCTGTAAGCCCTACCAAAGAAAAACACCCAACAGTCAGAGCAGCATGTGCCATGCCTCAGGACCGACTCATTTCAAAAAACGTGTTTCATCAGAGCGCTAGAGCCCCAGCTGGACATGCCCTAAATGTCACGTTGCAGGATGTGACCTGGGCCTCTCCACTGCTACAGCCTGCAGCTGGGAAGAGGAAAGAAATGGAGGCAGAAAACACTTCTCAGAGCTCGCTCTGACATTATCCTGATCTCCCTTTGATAGAGGGATTGGGAGGAATTAGAGGGACAGGAAGTTTTAAATTACGCTTCAGGCTTAGTAAATGTGAAATTGTCAACACAGAAACTCCTAAAGGAACACACAGGTGGAATACCTTCTTAATCCCTCTGGTGCTTCTTAACATGTCTGACAAGCCTGTATGCTCTTGAAGAGCTACTGGAGAGAGTCCAGTGGAGGGCTACGAGGATGGTGAGGGGACTGGAACATCTCCCCTACGAGGAGAGGTTGAGGGAACTGGGCTTGTTCAGCCTGAAGAAGAGAAGGCTGAGAGGGGACCTTAGAAATGCCTCTAAATATCTGCAGGGGGGGGGTCAGGAGGACGGGGCCAGACTCTTTTCAGTGGTGCCCAGTGACAGGACAAGGGGCAATGGGCACAAACT